GTATGCTGTACTCAAATTGCTTTATGTAGAAACTTCAGAAGACGTGGATCACTTACTATGTTGTACATGTTGATAGTTTTATTGTTTTGTACAGACACTCATTTTTCAACAAAAAAAGTTAGAAAATACTTCAAAATCGTTTCTATTTTACGAGAGACAAAAACTCACTATTTTGTCTCAGTGAACAATTCGTTCTTGGTATTTAAAACAGTGAATGACTTTAACAATATTTCATCCTCGTAAATTTCCCCAACATACAAATTGCAATAATTGGATTAATATCGGTATTATTTAACTCAATATATTTATGTGTGTCAGTGGTGTAAATGAAACGTAATTTCTTTATTTTTATCCATGCCTCTGTTAATACAGGGAAGGGTGAGTTCTGTTCAGCTTTGATGGTATTACTGGTGATTTCTCTGCCTGATTTTTCTTTACATACGTTTGAGTATAACGTGTTTCTATGTTTTTATTCAAAACGATGAAGCAAGACCAGTATTCAGAAAAGACCACAGTCAGGAAATTAAAATAATAGTCCATAATTTTGCCTCACTAAATCTGATTGATGTTTTACAAACGTCATAAATGTCCCTTTCAAAACAAATAATTGTTCATGCAATTCTTTCTTAGATGGAGAATTTCCAAGATACATGTAAATAAACATTTCGCCATGAGTACCTTGGTGTATACACTTGGTTCAACAAACCCATGTTAATATTTATCTATATTTATAATCCCAACTGTATTCATTTGAAATCACTGAAAACACTGAAATCACTGAAAACACTGAAATCACTGAAAACACTGAAATCACTGAAAACACTGAAGGCCTATGGTGCTTTGTGATTGGTCGACACTTTCTCGCAATTACCATGATTTAAGGTATGAATCTAGTTGTCAAATCCGTGACAACTACCATTTATGAATATTTAGATTAATAGATCAGGGATTTTTCTAGGAAAAAAATTTTTTAAGAGGTAGCACACCTTTGTTACCATTAGTAACACTCTATATTAGTTATAACTGATCATAATTTACTGACTGTTCCAGGCTTGGTATGAGGGCACAAGCCCAAGGTGTGAGGGCGCTGCGCCACTGTTCCCCTGTTTGAAAAAAAGCCTGATAGATTAATAGTAACATACATGGGTTTGTTGACTCTAATGTAGTGTTCATTTATTTCTTTTGATTTGAGGATTTGAGACAATGATTAGAAATTTTTAAATTCGAAAAAAAGCTATAGGATTCATTCTATATAATTCTTCCTACTCTTAACTTTTTTTCATAATTTAAAATAAAAAGTTTGGTCTTTTGTCAGCATGGTTTACATTCAAAATTGACCTTGATCATGATATTTTATCAGCTATATTATTTTTCAATTATAATTTACTATGTAATTTATGTTGTGGTCTGCATTTTGTTATCATTCCATGCATCCCGCTTCTTCCGTATTGTACCATACATTTCCCGTATTTTTTTTTTTTGTACTTCCATTTTCTCTGTTATATTAATTTTTTTAATGTTCTTGTTTCTTCACATGGCCGTTCATTCTTGTGGTCAATGTAGGGAGAGGTGAGTCCCCAGGTCGTTGTTTATTTGCACCATCATCATCAACATTTGTGTGTTTTTTTTTCACCTTGTGTAGACTTGAGTGAGAAACCACATACAGTTACAAAATCTGATTTTTGGGCAAAAAATGATGACATACAAACTTAAAAATCATTTTTACTTTGTTTAAACATTTAAATTATTTAAATATGATTTACAAAATTCACTGAATGTATGATGTCTCATTACTCACCATAGCGCCCTCTATTTCATTATGCTCTTGTATGCATTGGCTGGTTGCCGGCTTCAACTGTCATGGCACAACAAGCTACAAGTGTCCGGTAACTTGTAATTGTGTCGGTATTCTGATTGGTCAGCGAACTTTTTAGTCTGTGTTTATTTTACTCAGTTACCAGAAGTCGGTGATGTAAATGCTCACCAAACTGAAATCAAACAAAGTTAGTTTCAGTTAATCACATAAAAAAGCAAGTTACTGGTTGCCCTTGTCTTTCTTGTCATTCACAAATGATGGTGAGAATCATAACCAATCATTACATTGGTTATAGCGCCCTCTAAGGCAGTTAAGTACACATTACTCTTGAAACTATATGGGGTTTGTAGGTACATGCATTACTACACTATTTACATGGTAACTCGTGTTGTCATCAATTGATGTGTTAATTTGTCTAATCTGTGAAATTAGCATCATATTGTGAAATCATTAATTTTACTGGTTTTTAATTTCACTATTTTATTATTTATTAATATTCACTGGGTTCAAAATATAATGACTTGACTTTGAAACGATGAGCTCTGTTATAAATTTACATATGCATGGATTTAATTTAGAAAATTTCACAGATTTGTGAAAAATAATGAAATTAAAACCCAGTGACTAATTAATGCTTCATTTTCAAACTGTCACACAATTACATTAAACTTAAATAGGGACTAGATTTACAGTAAAACTATCTACATATTTGTGGATATAATTTGGTGCAAATAAAGCATCCCATTATTTCTGTGAATACTACAAACACCCTTGAAAACAAAGTTCTAATAATTTTCATCATTTGGCTCAGCTCTGGGCTCTCTATATCAAGCGGTTGGTTCTCAATGATGTATAATAATGACATTACAAGGATACAGCAAAATATGCACTCAGACAGTACATGGTCACATTGACCACCATTATGCACTGGTTAATACTCCCACTGTGCTGTCTTAGTGCATTCTTTGCGGTATCCTCATGATAACTTCATCTTCATCTTACAATGACTTTATAGTGTGATATTACACTGAACATACCATAATATTTAACAAATAATATCTCTCCGTAAAGATAAGAATTAGCATATGAGCTAAGATTTGACTCACAATATCGTGGAATACGTGCCACATATGTTGTACGAGTCAACTTTTATTTATTTTATATACTGAAATTCTCCAGTGTGTTTTGTTTATGTTGATACAAAACTAGAAAATTATGGAAAATATTACTATTACTTACTTTGAAATTGTCATAGCAACTCTGCAGAATTGTTGTTTCTGACTGTCGTCATTTGGACTGCCAAAGACTGATCTATTACGCGTCTTCGCAAACTATTTTAGAGGTTGGAGCGAGCATATGTAAATTAAAACCTGGTATTCAATGCCCTCATAAATGTGATGGCGCTGTTTCTATCAAAATGCTCTTCTGACTTATATCCCCCACAATGAACGTTGTCTTACAATAAAAATTCTGTAACAGTTAGCATTCATGCATCTCTGTTTCTCATTCAATATACAAGACTTGTCAATACAGTATTATTTATATCCCTTGTTCATGTCTTTCCATACATAGCATGCATTGGTGTGTGTATAGATCTTAACAGTTCTTCAGACTTAACCATTTCATCCCAATCAATTCCTTCACCTTCATGCTCACAGTTTGTCTGTCTATTCCATATGTGTGTATGACTATCATGGTGTGTTCCCACTTGATGGTGTTTTGGGGACTAGTTCCACTCCCAGTCAATGCTATATACACTCTTACCCTACTTTTTTCATAGAGTTTCCTCTCGCTTATATGGTGGCGGACAAACTAAAAGAAATTTAGAAATTAAAAAGGTGCCTAGAGTTACTAGTAAACAAAAATACGTAAAAGACCGGTAGGTAAATCTAGCAAAACAGAGCAGTAAATTAAAAAGTAGCATAGAAAGTATTTAAATTTAAAAATATTTGAAATTAAAATTTAAAAAAACCTAATAACTAACAAAATATAACTAATATCAAATATGTTTGCACATGATTACATAAGAATGTTGTTTGATTAACTTTAATAATATTCATTTTGTGATTATAATTAAATAAATCACTTTAATATTATTTTAATAGTTTAGCTGTGATTTTAGGTTATCTTACAAAAGTTAGTTTGTTGATTCATGTTAAAGTTTTTTCTTCTGCACGTTGCACTGAGTTGAAATCTAAGGCATTATATATATAGTTATTATAAAAAGTAAGGTTGGATAATGGTTTTTCTACACCACTGTGTTTGCTTGCACAGTGATAAGGATTATCTATGAACAACAGACTAGTTTCAAGTACCGCAGCTACTTCAGAAATTTGCGTGTAAAAATGAGAAGATTGGGGTTGATTTCGCAGCTTAACGTTCAATAGCTCATCAGAACGCCACAGACCAGCGAAACCAGTGAATAAATTTTGCCAGCTAAAAATCAACAGCCCATTCTCGCCACCGACTGTAACTTGAACTTTAACTTGAAACTTGTATATTGCTTCATCCACCGCCTGTACTTTACACATCACTGTGATGCACATGATATTTAAAAAAAAAAAACACTCCTCAATTTATGCACTCAATTAGTTAGGGAGTCTTAGGAGTCTCCCTTGGCCATGCATTTTCACTGTGCCATTTGACATCAGGGAGATATTAATGTACCAGTAAAGTATTCTATGATATTAACCATAGATCTCAGAAAGTGACTTATTCTTAGTTTTCTGGTTTTACTGATTTCCTCTATACAATGCTTTTGTGAAATTCTTGTAAATTATGATTTAAATAATCTGAGATATCAGTTTGAGACAAGCCAGGGTGTTATCTCGTTTTTAATCACATTTAACATGTTGTCTACTGACACCACTTTTATCCATTTATTTCGACTATTAGTGGTGGTTTCAACACAGAATGTCCCCCCCCCCCCCTCCCAATTTGTTTCTGGTCAACTTGCTTGTCAGTTCAAAAGAGGACATTCAAGCAGGAGAATAATGACATAAAAAGGTAAATAAGAATATTCATCGTGGCATTTGAACATCGCAAACCAGAAATAGGGCAGTAGATACTTAACAGTGAGAGTGTGAATCTGCCTGCAAATGTCTAAATTGGTTTTACCATCTACTATTATTAGTACTCTATGTTTGTTCACTTTACAAAATAATAGCAAACAATTATGTGAATTGATTAAAAACTTTCCTGTAAAATAATTAATGTACTTATTTTAAAATGGTAAACTTGCCAGAAACACACTGGGAATTAACATTGTTATTATGAATTCCGTGTATAATGTTTTTTCATATGGAGGTGTTAATTTCGTTTTATTTTGACCTAAATTCTGATTTGATGTTTTACCGTATTCCAGGTCTAAAAGTGTTACTTCTTTTCCGAGAACTCCAAGAATAACGCTGAATACATCGGGTGAGTATCGGCTGCAAGAAGGGATGAGCGTCTACCTTAACAATGAACTTGGCATTGTGAGATACATTGGTCCTGCTCACTTTGCGGATGGCATCTGGTTAGGTGTGGAACTGAGAACCGCTAAAGGAAAAAATGACGGATCAGTCCAAGGAAAGAAGTATTTCTCTTGCAAGCCGAATCATGGTCTTCTTGTGCGTCCAGGTAAAGTCACCGTCCGTGGTATTAAAGGGGACAAGCTGATTGGAGACGAACATAAACAAACGTCAAAAGTAACCAATGCAAGTTTCCAGACTGACGATTAATGAATATATAATATATAATGTTCACATACTGTAGAATACTTTATTTTAGCTGGAATTAATTTTCGCTGAAAACACTTTTTAAGTGTTTTGTATGGAATTTATTTTCACTGATTTTTGACAAGTTGAATGTAAAACCAAATTTCTATTGTCTTTGGTAAAACATAGGAAAAAATATATATTTTCCGGATTTTATTTTCACTGAATCATCCCTTCAGGGAAATAACAAAAATTAATTCCAAGCGAAAATAAAGTATTGTAGAGTATTGTAAACTTCATCTGCAGCGGCAGATGCATTATAGATAACTTATTCGTGTGTGATTATTCATGTTCATATAACTGTTTTATGGTTTATCATAAATTGCTGGCACTCACACAAAATAATACTGATTTGGTGAAATACCATCACGCATTTTTTTGGAAAATTTTGCGTACAAGTGAAGTGCGCCATGTATGGTAGAATGGGGAAATGTTTGTTTATTTGTAGACAATCATAACATAATTAGTTGTAGTAATGAACAAAAAATCTTATCCACAGTGACACTTTAAAAAATAGAATGCAAATATTATTTTAGTCATCCCATATAAAAATGGTATTTATTTCAACTGTCATATTTTAAAAACTGTAATATAAAGTAGCATGAATGTAATTCAACTCTGATGCTATAAGATTTACATATACCAACAAAAGATGCAAGCAGTGAACAGATGTTTTCTATTTTATGATGATGTCTTCATTTCGCTCACCATGACAGACGTTTAGATGCAATTTCAGAAGTTGGATTTTTGTGGGAACATGTGATAGTTACTCAAGAGTCACACTTCTCATTCAGTCTTTTGTCGTATTATGTGGATTTGTACTATTTTCAAATGTGAAAACTAATACAATGTATGCCGATTACCCAGGTACCTGTACTTGTCAAAGTAAGTCAAGGGCAATCAAGTGTGTATCCAGGTTTTGACACAGAGTATCGCCTAAGACTGGGTTATTTGCATTTTGGTACTTTCTGACTACATGTACCACACATTTGTATAGTATGGTATTGTGAGTGGAAAGTTGGGCTCATACATGGACACGTATTATAGGAATATATCAACCACAACAAGTATGATGGACAGACGGATGGACATATGTTTTTGCCTTTTCTTTCATCCTTTATCATGGATTTGGTAATACTCGAAATGATAATATTAATGTTATGAGTTATAATTCATTAATTCGATACCATTAATTACAACTATTTATTTTAATTATTAAATTGGTAAATTAAACATGTAGAGATAATTGGGCTCCACACCTGAAAAGACTGAACTGCATAGAAATTAGTTCTCTGTGTAAAAAATGAGTGGCTGCTGTTTACATTAATTTGAAGGAGTAAGCATTGGTAGCATAGTGGTTGTTGTTGTGTCAGACCAACGATCTGGTGACCACTACCCTTGATGAGTGTGCCACAGACTCAATGGAAAGGCTAAATCCACAGGCTGAGATAAATTCACTAACGAATGCAACTTTGGGGGAAATTTGATGAATGTCCACAA